TGCCTTGAAAAAGTATTCATACCACTTGAAATTTTCCAGTGTTTTGTTATGTTACAACTAAAAATGTAAATGTATTTTATTGGGATTTTATGTGATAGACCAACACAAAGTGGCACAGAATTGTGAAGTGGAAGGAAAATGAGAAATGTTTTTCAACATTTGTGACAAATAAATCTGTGAAAAGTGTGGCGTGCATTTGTATTCAGCCCCCCAGAGTCTATACTTTGTAGAGCCACCTTTTATTGCAATTCCAGCTGCAAGTCTTTTTGGGGATGTCTCTACCAGCTTTGCACATCTAGAGAGTAAAAATTTTTGCCCATTCTTCTTTGCAGAATAGCTCAAGCTCTGTCAGATTGGATGGAGAGCATCTGTGAACAGCAATTTTCAAGTCTTGCCACAGACTCTCCATTGGATTTATGTCTGGACTTTGACTGGGCTATTCTAACACATGAATATGCTTTGATCTAAACCATTCCATTGTAGCTCTGGCTGTATATTTAGGGTCATTGTCCAGCTGAAAGGCGAGCCTCGACCCCAGTCACAACTCTTTTGCAGACTCTAACAGTTTTTTTTCTTCTGTATTTGGCCCCATCCATTTTCCCATCAACTCTGACCAGCGTCCCTGTCCCTGCTGAATAAAAGCATCTCCACAACATGATGCTGCCACCACATTTCACAGTGGGGATGGTATGTTCAGGCTGATGTGCAGTGTTAGTTTTCTGCCACACATGTTTTGCTTTTAGGCCAAAAAGTTCAGTTTTGGTCTCATCTAGCCAGAGCACCTTCTTCCACATGTTTGCTGTGTCCCCCACATGGCTTCTCACAAACTGAAAAATGGGACTTCTTATGGCTTTTTTTCAACAATGGCTTTCTTCTTGCCACTCTTCCATAAAGGCCAGATTTGTGGAGTGCATGACTAATAGTTGTCTCGTGGACAGATTCTCCCACCTGAGCTGTGGATCTCTGCAGCTCCTCCATAGCTACCTTGGGCCTCTTGGCTGATTTAATGCTCTCCTTGCCCGGCCTGTCAGTTTAGGTGGATGGCCATGTCTTGGAAGGTTTGCAGTTGTGCCATACCCTTTCCATTTTCAGATGATGGATTGAACAGTACTCCATGAGATGTTCAAAGCTTGGGATATTTTTTTATAGCCTAATCGTGCTTTAAAATTATCCACAACTTTATCTCTGACGTGTCTGGTGTGTTCCTTGGCCTTCATGATGCTGTTTGTTCACTAATGTTCTCTATCAAACATTTGAGGGCTTCACAGAATAGCTGTATTTATACTGAGATTACATTACACACAGGTAGACTCTATATACCAATTAGGTGACTTCTGAAGGCAATTGGTTCCACTAGATTTTAATTATCAGAGTAAAGGGGGCTGAATACAAATGCACGCAACACTTTTCAGATACTTATTTGTAAAAAATGTTGAAAACCAATTATCATTTTACTTCCACTTTACAATTATGTGCCACTTTGTGTTGGTCTATCACATAAAATCCCAATAAAATACATGTACATGTTTGGTTGTAAAATGGCAAAATGTGGAAAATTTCAAGGGGTATGAATACTTTTTCAAGGCATTGTATAAGGGTGACCTCAGTAACTATATATGAGAATTCGGAAAGTATATGAGATTGGTCAAATATAACAGGCTACCTTCAAAAATAAAAAGAGATACAAAATAATCTAATTATAATTGCAGCCACTGGTGTCTTAATGGAAATGTTCTCCGCCTAAAACATGAAACAGAAGATACTTTGGCTCATTTCCAGTAGCACAAATTCAAATAAGTACAAGTAAAAAATGGTTTTGAATGTGTGCCTGGTTGGTATGCTTTATTTCTTTGAAGTTATTTGTGACTCCTGAGTAAAAGAAAAGTTTCATTTTGATATCTTTTTCTTGAAATGTCCTCTAGCCAAGCTATCTTGTGGAGCAGGGAGGAGGTGTAGTGAATGCAGAGATTTAGCACATGAAACTCTTCTAATTCAGACAAATGTGGTAGTAATGCACAGAAGTCAATAATATTGAAAATGCTGCAAAATGCAATTGCACAGTGTTTTGTAATCCAATTGCATGTCAGACCGAGTCATCCAATGTAATTCAATGTTCTCCCTATATTTGTAAGCACCATTACAAAGTATGTGCCATGTGCGGAAGCTAATGCATTATTATCTCTTTTAGTAAAGCGACTGTCACAGAAACTGTGAATTATTAAGCTCTGTCCTTGTAAAAAGGCTGCAGGAGACTTGATGCCGACATTAAATGCTTAAGTATCATTCATACCACTTGCAGAAAAACAAATGAATCTTTTAACAAGAAACTTCTATCATCTAAAGATTGCTCTATAAACAGACATTATCAAAAGAGTGGTACTTTCTAAGCAGTAATAGCTGTACCATTGTAATGATACTGCTTTCAATATTTGATACTGCTGGTCTCTACTTGTATGTCCATTGCTGCCTAATAGGATATCATTAAATAGATCAGATTTATTGATTGCTGGCAGGAGTTCTTAAACGCTGTCAACAGATATAATAATGATATAGTAATTTGGTTTAATTGCACCTGAAGATTTCACATCATGGAATACTTGCACAATAGCCTTTAGAAAGATCCATATTTTGCTGTTTTTTATCAGCTAACATTGTAGGCTCCTGGGTCTTTGAATTTACTGACATCCAAACTGTCTCCCTGTGTTCTTATCAGAGACCTGCACAGCTTAAATGATAAATTCACCTTTGGAACATGTTACACCATGTTACCCATTTTTAGGGTGGAACTTGTAGCATTTTCCAGCATCTTCAGCTTCTCCCCCTCAATCCTCCCCTCCCTGTGACAGTGGTGTCCTTTCTCCACACCCACTGTCACAATTTGAAAACAGCTCCACCCACACAACCACATCATTCATTCACAGTTTCCAATGAAGGACTAGACTACAAGTACTGTTAGCCATTGGGGCTGACGGATGGTAGTTCTCAATGAACTACAAGGTGAGCACTTTTGTAGTCCATTGATCTTCCTGCTCTCAAGTAACTGCTTTCCTGTATGAGAGGTACAAGCAGACAGCTTACTTGAGAGTCTGCAGGAGCCTGACATTGCACACTCAATCTGCTGACCGCGGGTGCAATTTTTTGCAGGCCCCTTAGAAAAAATAAATGTGCATTTTTTTACATGCAAAAAAAATTTTTATTTTTTTTTTTTTCAAAAAGTGAATTTAGCCTTTAATAATTTGCTTGGATAAGGTATTGACTTCCTGCACAAAAGTATATGTTAAAAATCACACTGTGTGTAAAAGAACAGTGTTCTATGGGGATGCTCAATGGCTTCTGCTTTCTCTCTTTATTCTTACCACAACAGTTCTGGTTCTGCAGTGCTTTGTCAAACAAGGATCTCCTCCAAGAATATGAAATGTTACCCTTTAAGCTGAATACTGGTTGTGTATTCTTCCACATTGCACTGGGTGCATTAGATGTCCATGTATAGTGTGTTTGACTTTTGCAAATTCTCTATATTGTTTAACAGATTCACATCCTGTTCCTGAATTGGCCTCTACCACCTGTACCAGCACCCATAGTTTCTTGCTTTTCTTTGATTCTAAATGATGTAACATTTTCTAATGCTAGATCTGGATCAACTTAAAGCAAGACTGATAATGCTGATCATAATTTTGCCTCCAAAAATAGGTGGTGACTATACATCCCCTTCTATATTGATAATTGCCTATATAACCATTAAAACGAGGCCAGTTTGACAAGAGGAAAAAGCAATACCAGCAACTGGCTTGTCAGCTCCTCCAATGCTCCAATGCACTCCTTTCCATAGATGTTTTGTGGAGATCTTATTTAAAAGCAGGCCAAAACAGATTTGATATAAACTTATCAGGCCAAAACAGATTTGATATATTTGCCTTTTTATTTGTCTTGGAAAGGATCCATAGGTTTTGGATGATAAGTGATAAGGTAATGGGTGTCAGAAAGAACAGGAAGAAAGGAGAAATCACCTCTATGTGAGTACAAACAACATTTAAAATCTGAAAGAAAAATCTGTTCAGTGTGTAAAATCCGATGGAAGTTCTACACTTATCCAGTACAGAAACAAAATTCTTGACTGGTGTTAGGCTTTGAACGTTTATAAGCAAATGTCCTGCCTAAAGACAGACATCATGCTGTTTTTACTATTCCCTTTTTTAGCCTAGATAGTGATTTCTGATCCTCTGATCCTGGTTTTACTTTGTTACCAAGGGCTCAACTTCCCTGTCTTTTAGGCTTAACAGCACACAGCTATACAAAGTAGCTGGCATCACCTTTCAATGGTCATGTCCTTATAGGCTTCTTAGGCACTTCCTTTGGCCAGGGTGATAATGTGTGTGTGTGTGTTTGTGTCAAAGTCTGTAAAGTTGAGCTGTTAGTGAATCCAGAATTACAGGGGCAAACAGAAGAAACCCGTTTTTTTTTTACGTTTATTATTTCTGATGGGTTCACCTAAAATGTATGTCAGGTCAATTGTTTTCTGGTTTTGGATAGAGTGGAGAAGGTTTTGAAGTTCTTCCAGGGTTTCTACTGCTATCTGAGGCTCCATTACTACTACTCTCCTGCTGACAATGGTTTCACCAAACAGGAAGCAGGGGAACATTTGAATCCGAGACACAGACAGAAATAAAAATCTGACAGGAGTTTTAGCCTCCCCTTACTGTACTTTAAGTGTTACTAAACCCATGACCCTGCATCCACTATATCCGGTCTCCCACAGTACACAGAACATGGAAATGCAATTATTTTAGTAAATAAAAACTGCTAAATACCTTTTCTCATCAGCAGTTAGAACAGTCTTGTGACTTCTGTCAGTGTCCTGCAGAGCACTGATTACAGCTTGTAGGAGGAGTTTTCATTCTTCTGTAGTAGGATGCAGGACCCCTGTCTGGAGAGTGCTGATTGGCCCTGTGCTGATCACATGCACTCTCCCAAGAAAAAAGAAAAACTCTAGCAATCCACACAAAACTGAGCATGTGCAGCTTGCCCCTAGCCTCTGTTCTATCAGGAGATATTTGGGAGACACTGGAAGAAGGGGGGGATCAGAGAAGGCAGGATTAAACATCCTTTTTACACAATGTGGAGGATTAACCCCTTAGGTTCCACAATGAATATAACAAGCATGCTTTACTGCATATACAGACTGATTTTACTGTTGTGGGTTTAGTAACACTTTATGCATTTTTATTTCTGCCTGTGTTGCTGCTGGAAATTCTCCCACACTTCCTGTCTGCTAAAAACACCAGTAGGATGGGAAGTGACGGTGACTCTATGTTCTGGAACCTCCAGAAAGCAGTAAAAACTATTTCCCACTTCATTAAAAATTAAGAAAAAAGTATTTGATGGATGTACACTTTAAAGGTATTTATTCATGTTGGGTGAATGGAGGATTGGTTGACAGTCTAATCATTTGCTCCTGGATGTTTAGATCTCTGTTTATGGCCAACATTTATTTTCCTGTGGGCAGGTTCAGAAATCTGAATTATGTATATTTATACATAGAGCTCATTGTTTGCAGTTTGCAACCAAGGCTTTTCTTTTAGGTAGTGTCATTGGTATTGGTATTTGTATTTGTAGCTCTGGAATTTCTTTTTATTTCTCTCTAAGTATTTACCACTCAGTGTGTTGCTTTTACTAACCAACCGTGATGCCTTTTAATTTCAAACACTTTGGGAACAATTCAGAATGCTGTTTAATTTATGACTCAGAAAAAAAGTTTGTGCAGAAACATGCACAGTAGAGTTTAAAATTGAATTCAAAAGAAAATGTTCCTTTCCACCCAACTGAAATCCATAATGCAATAAAATCAGAATCATTAATGGAAAATGTATTATTGATTAAAAAGGGAAAAGGGCAACAATTTTTTACCACTTCTATGCAGACATACATAAGGTGTAATTGCCTTGTTTAAGGAGGGTAAATAAATGAAATAACACTTACTCAAATTCCTCTTTAATTGCAGAAGATCCATGCATATTACATTTCAGACCTTGTGCTATGTGCTATGACTGATCTACTGTTTTTACAGGAATATACTTAGACATCTCTGCCAGTGTTTTACAGTCTGTGTTCATTTTGGCCATAGACTATAGTCTGTATCTATAGACTAGTTTTAGCTTGGTAATAAAAGAAAATGCATTCTTAAAGTGGAAGGCAAGTCAAAACCTAATTAAGCTGAAATCTACTTTAAACCTTTTCTACCTAGCCTGTTAAAGGAAAGATGCTTATACTACGGACAGCACAGTGGCTAAATGGCTAGCACTTCCACCTGGCAGTACTAGGGTCGTTGGTTCGAAACCCAGCCAGGGCACCTCCTGCCTGGAGTTTGCATGTTCTCCCTGTGCCTGCGTGGGTACTCCGGTTTCCTCCCATACTCCAAAGACATGCTGGTAGGTTAATTGGATCCTTTCTAAATTGGCCCTTGTATATGAATATGAGTTAGGGACCTTAGATTGCCCCTTGAGGGTTAGGGACTGATGTGAATGTACAATATATATGTAAAGCACTGTGTAAATTGATGGCGCTATATAAGTACCTGAAATAAATATTTAAATAAATACTTACCTATTCTAAAGTTGCTCTGGTCTGGTCACATGATCGGGTCCCAGTGCCGGATTCAGTGTAGAGGAAGGACAGCCAACAATGGATGCCCCATAGCAAACCTATAGATGACATTATAGGTTCTGCAACCGTTGACAGTAATCTCTCCTCTACACTGAATCCGGCACTGGAATATTTTGTTTTATGTATATTAAGGTTCTTTGCAGTAAAAGCAAGGAAGCACAAATACCTCTGTAGTGTGTATAATATGCTTCACTAGACAAAATGATGTGCATACAATTGTAGGAAAGGCAATACAAGACATACAACATGCATGCTCACACACTACCTAGCTATACAATAGGAATATGCTTAACATTAAATAGCTCAGGCTATAGCAGCTTCACAATCTCTATAGGCAACCAGAACTCCTGGATATTGAAGCAATTGCAGAAATTGGGTGCTAGCATCACCCTCCAGTTAAATTTCTTCTGGCATAGACCTTTATTGTAAAGTCATCATGGAGTCCCCCTGTCAGGTTATGCTACTGGCCTTTTATTTGGAAAGTTTAGGTAGACAATCCCACATAGGTCTATCTTTCACACTATCTAATTTACATTCATTTTCTGTGGGTGAAACATTTCCCAATTCAGCCTCTAGATGGCACTATTGTAGCATACATGCCATAGGTCATAGATGTCAAATGGTCAAGCTATTGACCTTGGTTGCCTGAATGCATTGTATAAACAGAATTCATGTAAAAGCAATGGAAGCATCTACCTGCAAACTGACATGTGCCCAACATACAACTATATTATCTACCATATGTGACCATTGTATTAGAGAACTGCTTATGTAAATCTTTCCAATGGCATTTGTTTGAGAAGTACAAACAAGTAACCTCAACACAATTACTATAAGGTAGAGTCTTAGTGCTTACAACCACAATCTGTTGTAATTGGGGGTTCATACTTAAATCCACTCAGTCCAAAATGTCAGTGCAGCTACTACCAGTATAAAGAAGACTAATGTCAGTACTGCTGCCAATACTTCTCGTATTCCCAGAAGTGAATGAAATGCATAAATATATCAAAAACAGTTCATATTTAGTGAACCAACAAATTACAGTATATCATATAATAATCATATTTAAAAAAACATAATATAATAAAAATTAATAAAAAATGTCCCAAGTGTCCATATATTTTTGCAAACATATACTGTATTAGTGATGTTGTGTCTGTTTACAACAGTGCCATATATCTTCCAGCTCTTCATCATGAATATGTCTTAACTTTGTATTTAGACCCAGTAGTATGTCTCCTGCACTTGCCCCTTTAAGTGGGGTCTCCTATTCAAGGATTGTAATGCTTTTCTCCAGCCCACAGACGTTCACAGTCCATCTCCATCCTCCGTAAATTCTTTGATAGCAGTTTGTGATACATTCAAAATATAAAAGGATATATAGTGCTCTTTGTATTCCAAACAATATTTTTTAATTTAAAAAAACTTTTTAAACCCAACATTTTACGTGCATTATTCCTAGTGCACATCAGTATCCAGGCATAATACAATGAAAACAACCAACAAAATGGCTAACCGTACACTTTCGGCCTTGCAGGGTGACGTCACTAGATTCACCCAACGCATTGCCCATTAGATCACGTGACTGCATCAGGGAATGATCCCCTGATGATATTTTCCTAGTTTTTAATATATGATAATGATGAATAAAAGCTGCACAAAAAAAAAATATATATATATACTATATATATATATATATATATATATATATATATATATAAACACACTAGCAGAGTGAAAATATGACACAAAATATAACACTGTAAATATACACAAATATTTAAATAATGTGCAATAAGTCCATCAACTGAAAAATTAAAATTGTGATGAAGTGCAATGTCCTTATTGATCCACCGAAATCACCACATGAGCAACATAACAATAATTGATTGAGTAAAGTGCACTCAGATGTCACCACGTGCTCCAGAGGAAAATCTCCCCCAATTCAGTAGCACTCACAGATATCGTGGGCGTGGCCCATCCAAACCTGATAGGCAATAGCCCTTATGGTGAGTGTCAGTGTAGTACAGATCATCAATCAACAAGCCCTTCATCAATTAGAGACTGATATGATGGTGGGACATCCTCCAAACTATTACACTCCATATTCAAGGAAAGATGTAAAGGAAACTCATAGAGTGAATCCATTAAAAAACCATTTATTGGGTAGAAAGTATTGCACTCACATGAAATAAATGAAAGCATGCCAAAATATCCACAATAACTGTTAAGAGTATCTGTATATCACATGAAGTGAGGGTCTCACCCGATCCTCGTCGCTGCACGTGAGCGATATGTCACTTTTGGGCGGGGGATGTAAGGTGGATGCCTCATTACAGAATAAGTCGTGTGGCCCGACCCTGACACGTGTTTCGTCACCTGACTTTATCAAAGGGATAATAGCCACGATATCAATGCTACTGAATTGGGGGAGGTTTTCCTCTGCAGCACGTGGTGATATCTGAGTGCACTTTACTCAATCAATTATCGTTATGTTGCTCACGTGGTGATTTTGGTGGATCAGTAAGGACCTTGCACTTCATCACAATTTTCATTTTTCAGTTGATGGACTTCTGTCAAATGATTTAAATATTTGTATATATTTATAGTGTTATATTTTTGTGTCATATTTTCACTCTGTTAGTGTGTACATATACATATATATATATATATATATATATATATATATATATATTGCGCTGCTTTTATTCATCACTGTTTTATGAGGTGATTATTGCATTATTCACTATTAGGGCAGCTGCATGCTTACACATTCTATGCACTCATTTATTGACTTAGGTGAATGATTTATTATTTTCAGATTTTAGATGTTTTTTTTTTTTTAATTTATTTTCACATCTCATTTGCGTGGTGAATATATGGTTTATATTTTTATATATTATGTTTGTTTGAAATATGAGTATTATTATATGATAAAATTTGTTGGTTCCCTAAATCTGAATTGCGTGGCACAGTTTTTGATATATTTATTCATTTGTTTGAGAAGTGTTCATTCAACAAACAAACAGATTTATATGTAAGTTTCAGAAAATCATAAAAAAAACCTATTTATATACAAATATATACATATCAAATGCAAAACATGAAGAGATCATGTGACCAGAGCAGAGTGACTTCAGAATAGTATAGACATCTTACATTTCCTATCTAGATAGAATAGGCTTAGAATGGGTCTGGGAGTAGATTTCAGCTTAGTTAGGTTGCCTTCCACTTTAGGCATTCCTACCTATAGAGTGGCAAAGTGTGTGTGTATGGAGAGGGGGGGGGGGGGGGGTGAGATGGAGCCTTGACTAGAGAAATGAAGTATGGAAGAGCTAAAATCCCCATCAATTCATTTTCTTGCTATGTACATGGAAGAAAAGCAGGGTATCTGGAAGAAGCTCACACAACATGAAGATAACTTGCAAACTGTAGATAGTG